AAATAAGACTGTTAATAGATTAAATTTCATAAGAAAAAGGTATCTAATTAATTTAGGTACCTTTCTTATGAAATTTTATCAAAAATGTACATAAAATACTATAATTTTATGTACATTTATTACATTTTACTGTTATTTGTATTTCCATTCATTTTATTATTAATTTTGATATTTCATTTATGGAAAAATGTCATAACTGAGATTAATATAAAAATAAGATCATATAAATTAAAGTTTAGCAGTAGTTAAATTTCATAAGATGATACTGTTACTTGTAGGTACCCTTCTCAGTTGAAATTGAAAACTCAAATTAACTTCTCCATCGTGTTTCGCAAAAGTAAAGGGCTTAACAGTGGAGAACAATGCTGAACTCAAATAATGCAACTAAATTGTATTCTGGTTGGTCTTCCGTGCTTGATAATTACTGTCCGACTATAAACACAAAATTACATTTCTTAATTACCATGGCTAATCTGATTGGTCCAAATTATACAATTTTCAAAGCGCTAGACAATGACAATCTCACACGGACATTTTGAAAGGTTGATGTTGCTTTTAACTAATGTTAAAATATTTTTTAAAATTCAATTTAAACATTTTTTAAAAATCTTTTTAAAATTAAAGAAATAAGAAATAATTGTATTAAAAATTCAATTTTCATTGAAAAAATTTTTTGCTTTCAGAAAATTCATAAAAACAAATTAAAACAAATAAAAGCATTTGAAACTAAATAATATATTTGTTTTATTGAGTTTTGTATGTTACAATTCACAGCTGATTTTCAGGTACGTTGGCCAAAAAAAAAAAAAAAAAAAAACATGATTTGCATTCTTCAAAGCCTTGTGCTTTTAACTATTGTAATCACTAAAACCGATGGTCTCGAATTTCTAGAGTTTTTCATAAAATTAGTTATGGGGTGTTAATAAATATAAAAAAATATTTCTGCCATGACTAAAAAAAAAAAAAAAACATATTTATAATAATTTCGATCATCTGTGAATAGTTTCTGAAAGTTTCATTAACATCTGACAATTATTTTTTTTTTTGCAAGATTTTCCAAATTAATGTGTGTAAATACAAAAAAATGCACTAAAATTATCTATGTTATTTACCACCCCTTGTTGCGACAAAAGAGAAACAAGGTTTTTTAAATCAAAATTTAGAATATTCTAAAAGATGGAAAAATTTTAAAAATATAATTAAAAAAAAAAAATTTAGTCTATCCTCTTCATAAAAACATAAGCATTTTGACAATAAAATTTTGTTTTCATAAACTTTGGCGTCTTTTTCATCAGACTATGCTCTGTGTTTTAGCGATTCCGTGGAGTGACTTAGGTTAAAAACCCAGGTTGTTTGTTTGTGTGTGTGTGTGTGTGTTCCTTTATATATGGGATCGGATTTATTACATTTTTCAGCCGATAAAACAAACATCCACTTTTTTTTTCGGCAGGTAGTATTTCTTATTGTCTTGCACACTTTTTTCTTTATTTACATTCAGAATGCTTTAAAAATTCCATTTACAAGACAATTGTTTATAATAAAATTCTATTCACCAATCGATAGACTCATAACGATTGTAAACAATGTTTTTGTTTGAATTTGGGTTTGACCAATTCGTAAAAAAAAAACAAAAAAAAACAAACAAACAAAAACTAAGACATGCGTGTCCATCAACTTTAAACAATAATCTTTGTCAATTTTATTTTTCAGTCTTTATGATGGTCGATACTTGATCTATCTCTTACTGTTACATCCCCGGGCAACTCTGGGCTCTACTGCTAGTTATTTATACTATTTACATCATTTGGACTGTTGTCCTCATCTTTATTACCATATTCATGATGTTTCGGCCATTGTACGCTTCGGCCTTCTTCATGATCTCTCTATATTTGTGAAATGAGGTATTGTAATTATTTATACTATTTACATCATTTGGACTGTTGTCCTCATCTTTATTACCATATTCATGATGTTTCGGCCATTGTACGCTTCGGCCTTCTTCATGATCTCTCTATATTTGTGAAATGAGATATTGTAATTATTTATACTATTTACATCATTTGGACTGTTGTCCTCATCTTTATTACCATATTCATGATGTTTTGCCATTGTATGCTTCCCTTCTTCATGATCTCTATATTTGTGAAATGAGATATTGTAATTATTTATACTATTTACATCATTTGGACTGTTGTCCTCATATTTATTACCATATTCATGATGTTTCGGCCATTGTACGCTTCGGCCTTCTTCTATCCCAGCATCAGTTAATTCTCATTAATAACTTAAATCTGTATGTTTTTGTTCCCTCTGCTGTGACCAGGTATTGAACTTAGAAATCTTTGGGTCATTCACTTTTTGTTTTACTCAGCTGACACTCGGCCATGTGTCCTTGAAGACAGTCTGGACCTTCAAATTTAGTGTAGGAAATAAGAATTGAATATAGAATTGGCTGGGGTAGTTTGTTTATTTGAAAAAAGAGGTTGCTGTGAATTTTGATTAAAAATAACTGTTAAACATTGTTGGCATTTCTCCTTGTTTATTATGCCCTCTGTGTGTGTATGTGTGTGTTAACTTCCTTTGGATGTTGGACAAGTTAGTTTTCAAACCTTCTACAAAGACTCTGTCATATTTGTATATCTATATATAAATGTTGTATTGCAAACATAAACTGGAGACCTATTGTCTCTTTCTACCATTCTATTTCATTATCTATGTACAAATATGTAAATATTGCCTTTGAATTTCACTTTAAAATACTAGAAAGTTTTATTCCAATACAGTACAATATGTGAAAATATGAACCCTGTTTCCAAAATGTCTGAAATATATGTATTTTTGTTAGTCTAAAAATGGCTTTTGACATTGATGAGTGAAACATCATGAAAAAGAAATAGGTTTATTGTGGAAACTTATGAGCAGACATTTTTATGCTAGTAAAAAACAAGATATGAAAAGTATAAAGTGTCATATGGCAGCCCTGCACACTAAGTTCCTGACAAACAGGTAAATTAGACAGATGTCCCATTTCCCTCTCTGACATGGCTTGTGAGATATCAGCTATGATATTTTAGTAAAATATTTGTCGTTTGCTGATTATTGACAACTTGTGCTAACATAGCAGGTATTAAAAACTGTCTCATATTTGCATGTAAATGTTGCATTGCACAAATAACATGGAGTCCTTTTGTCTGTTTATAGCAGTTGTAGGCAAACTGTGGCCTGTAGGCAACATGTGGTTCAATTGGCTTTCTAAATGGGCTGGCTAATTCTGTGAAGTAATGTTGGTTTCCTTTCATTCTGACTTGTTTACTCACACAGTAATTCAGCACAAGGTTTCTTGAATATTGTAACTTTTTGTTGAAGGTAACATTGTCAGCATTTGTAACCATTGTCAATTCATTGGAAGATAAGTGTAAACACCTTTTGCTTCAGCAACAGGAAATATCAATGCTAATTATGTATTTATAGAGCAGTGCTTCTGGTACACATAGCAGTCTTTTTTTTTTTAAAGGATACACATTTAAATATTATGCAGCAAAAGCATGTATTTAAAAAAAAAATACACACAGAAATATAAGCTTACTTTGTCAGTGTTTTTTTTTTTTTTTTATTGAAATAAAGGAACATTTTTAAAAGATAAAAATTTTTAAAAATACTTTTTAAAAAATGAATATGAAAAAGTATTTAGAATAACAGAATGGAAGAATAGTGAGAAGAATTATTTGGGCAAAAAAGGCTTAATACTTATTCATTTCTTAAAATTGTTATATATCATATGTATAGAGACAAATGGGTATGTCCCAATCATCATAAATACGTTGGACACTATTGTAAATGCAGGTAATATGCTGCATAAGTAGTCCACCACTAGCAGTGGTTTACCTATTTTATGCTGCTGGCGAGTATTGTATTTTGTTGATGTTATAATGATTACCATTTCATTTCCAACCTCCGTTTTGGTTATTCCTCATTCAGTAACCCTTTCTAGGTTAGAGCACAAATACTAACACTGTACCATTACTGCGTCTGCACACATATATGTACACCCCTGACGATATTTGGTGGCACGGTAGTTGAGAATCACTGCTCTAGAGAATAAATCTGCTTGTCGTTTTAGAAATCTTTTGGAATGGGTAAAGGAATAAATTAGAAATGAATCATGTGCTTAATCATCAGGAATAAGATTATAGAAAGAGATCAATTTTTGTAATTATAGAAGGAATCTTTTCTTGAAAGATGAGAAAAAAGAATGGCTTTTCCCTATTTCTAAGGCAGCTGGCTATGGTAGCATTAATTAAAAATGACCTAAATATCTTTTTTGTATGTTTTACGAGTGAAGCCTGCCTTATAATACCACAGGATTTCAGTGTTAATTTAGTCGTCTGACTAATAGTAAGTAATGTTAGGCAAGAATTATTTAATAGTATATTCTGTTTCTCTTGCCAATCTGTACATTGCAAATGATTATTATAGAATAAAGATTTTTTTATTTTGAGGCAACTCATGGCGCAGAACTTATATTGAATACACCTCTTCTTTTGACAGTCTGTGGGCTAATAAAGATTTACTGATACAAGTCTTAATATTTCTCTGAAAAGAAGTTCTTACAATGTAAATAAAAATAATTTCTGGCTTTAAATAACCTGAAAAGGTGTGACAATCTCTAGAAAATGAACCCAACAACCCAGTTGTTTTAAACCTGATGAAATTATGAGCAAGCATTGAGATTGCCAGACAAGGTCAGTAATTTAATTCACATATAATTGAATTGTTAGTACTTGACTTTTATTGGTCTGGCAAAGTTGATAATCCAGCATAGTTGTGGAAGTAAGGATGACAGTGTACTTCTAGACTAATGTTCAAATCTAAATTATCTTTTCTCCGTAAATAGTCTGTACTCTCAATGTCAGTTTATCAGTGCTTCTCAGAAAAGGAAGAGGAAAGAAAAGAAACAATTGACTGGAAATATTTTAATTTTAATATCTTTGTATTCACAGGGTTCACCACAATGGATTCTTATTGACTTAGAACGGTCAGTAGAGGTGGAGGAATTGGTTATTCGGTTTCAAGGTGGATTTGCTGGCCAGGATTGTTGGATAGAAGGATCTGTTAGTGAAGATTCCAGCTGCTTGCAGATGCTGCAAAAGATCTACCCTGAAGATAATTCATCACAACAGATATCCTTAATTTGTTTTTTTTTGGGGGGGGGGTATTTTTAAGGCCCAAGAATAGATTTAAAATTCCCTAACTTTGATTTTTGGAGAATTTACACTTGAAGTATTGATTCTGTTTTATTTTTCCTTCTTGGTTTTTTGTTTTTGTCAACTTTGTAAGACTTGCGGTAATGGACATTTTTAGTGTAGCAGTTACCCGTGTAAAAAGACATTAATTTGGAAATTTTCAGAACTTATTCAAAAATGAATGAATTTAATTTTGAAATGTGTATTTTTAGAAAATCTTGGTAAAAAAAAATTTTTTTTTTTTTACAACTAATGTAGCTTAATTTCATGAAATTGTTTTATATTACCTATAAGCAGAACTCCTTATGGAAAGTAAATAATTTTTTTTTTATTTTTCACAACTACTCTGAACTTGTTAAAAATCTGCTCTAAATTATTAAATAAAACCTGCAATAAAACTAGTTAGTCTTTTATAAATAATATACATTAAATACGTTATTGTCTATAGGAAAGAAAAGTTTGCATTTTTCTTTAATTTTATGGAGAATTTTTTCACTTTTGTTTAATTTTAAAAAATGCTTCAATAACTTGCATTCTATCTGGAAGAATTTTAAGTTATTAATTGAAGAATATATTTAGTAAGTAAAAATTAAAATCTTAATACAAATCATACTTGCTAAACTTTTTACCATAATTAAAGATAATTTTGTGTGTTAAAATGTTACACTATACTAAAAAAAAAAAAAATGTATCATAAGTGATATTATTGTTAAAAGGTCACACGTTTCAAGGCTTGTCCCCTTTAGAGAAAACTCCTTGACAAAGGTTTTTGGCTGCAGACAATTTCATTTCACTTCCCTGTTTCATCACATTTCAACAGGCTTCTTTTTTAATTTTGAAGGGATGATTTGTAAAGTTTTTTTTTTTCTTCCTATTTCACTAAATATTTTTAATGTTGCTATGCATTTATGTTACTTTATATAGTATGTATACTTTCGAGTGAGAGAGAGAGAGAGAGTGTAATTTGTTTTATTTTTTTACTTAGGCCAAAAACAAATATTTCTTAACTTTCTGTATTGCAAGTTAAATAAAATTACTTTAACAATTCATAACCATCAAAGTATAGCAATTAATAATAAAGAATATAAATATATTATCTCAGTTTTATTAAATTAAAAATTAACTGAGATAATATAATTAAAATTATCTTTGTTATCAATTTAATAATTAAGATGAGGATTAAATTGTTACTATCAGTGATTAGATTGAAATGATAAATTTTCTCCTTTATCAGTTTAAAGAATAATTGTGTGAGATATTAATAATACGTTATCATAGCTATTAATAATGGACTTCCATTATAGAGGTAAGTGAATCATGTAAGAAATTTTTATATTAAAAAAATGTTTTTTTCTTGGATTTTATAAAAATGTCAATTGTGAGGCACCATAGTAAACTTGTCAACACATTCTGCCATGAAAATAAGACCGTGAGGTCAAGAAATGTTTATCTAGAAAATGTTATGGTGTATGTGATATTTATTTCAGAACAGATGAACTTAACTTTAAAAATGTAGCTTTCATAAACAGATAAATGAGTTTTGTTTGCATTTCTGTAAGAAAAGTATTGCTCGATTGGTTTTCAGGAAGAATCTACGGAAAATGATTCAAATTTCAATGTGAAATACTTTGCAGTAAAGTTTGCAGAGGAGCCTAACTATGAGTGAATAGATTTTGAATGACTGTCTATACTCATCACTTCTATTACATACATACATACATACATATAGTTGGGTATTTGAACAGCAAAGTCTGTCCTTTTTTACATAAATTAGATATGATACTGAATTTGATGATTGACTTCTTTTGGCAACATTTTCCTTGTCAATACTTGCAAAGCAATCATTCTTTCATAATAACTAAATGAAATGATAATAGATTTTATTATGTTCCTTAATTTTAACCACAGATTTCAAATAACAGAATCACCAAAATTGCGACTCATGAAGGTGATATTTAACACAAGCACAGATTTTTATGGACGGATAACAATTTATGAATTGGATATTATCGGGAAAGATGTTTGACGTCATCCATTAAAATATTAATATCAGAAAATTTTGTTATGTAATTATTCTTTTCTGTATGTGGCAAATGATGAGACAATATCTATTTTTGGTCCCTGAAAATATAAACTTTTCTGAATTGTCAGCCATTAATCATCAGCTTTTCAATGGATACACACATCTGGCCTAAGGTTCTCTTCCATTCTTTTATATCCTTTTCTAATTCTTATTACTATCATGCAATTGGTTTTACAGTCGTCGTTGATTTCTCCCCCACCCCTTTTTTATTTCATACTAAGTCTCATCCTATTCCTACCCTGTCAATTTTGTTCCATTATACTCATTGGTAGATGCTAAGCTAATAATATATCACTAATTTATGTTCAACCCAATCAATGTTTAGGCACCACACATCTACCCATGGACACAACTTCTACTTTCCATCCATTTTCATTACAATTTGATCCATTACATTTGTTATCTTAAAATTCTGAATATATTTCTAAATATATTTAAACCACAAAAACTTAATTTCATTTTTTTTCTAACAAAATTTTCCTTGTCCAGTTATGCATCAACAGCTACAATCTTTCAACCTCAAGCAACCAAATAAGGTTTAAATAAACAATATTTACATTAGTTAAAAAAAAAAAAAAACAAACAATTCTAATTTCTACAATGACAAGCTAATCAATATTTATACTATTGCCCTCCTCTTTACTTAGCACATTTCTGCACTTCATCAGGCAAATATCCATCTGGCTAACTATACAGGGAATTCTGAACTGAGCATTTTCTTTCATCCACACAGACTTATTCCACTGCTCATGTCTAGTCATATCATCCATTTCTTTTTCAATATTGTTCAGTTATTGCTTGCCCACCCAAACCAAACATTGAACTCATGATCCATAATATTGTCATAAAATTTAGAATGATGAGGAACATTGCATGAATATAAAAACTGTCAATAACACTAATTTGGAATTATCCATTTCTAACCAGCCTCGCTATACTTCTCCACCCCCTCCCCCACAATTCATCATTTTCTTACAAAAATACAACACATTGTATTGTAAATCCTTTTAGTATGATTTATTTTTAGATATCATTTTCTGTTTTCATTTTCAGATTTTATTTTTAGCAATTAAATTTTATATTTATTCGTCTGGCACAAGGTGGCATACAAGAGCAATATCCATGCATCAGTATTATTGGGTGGGGGATTTTCCTACAAAAAACTACATCTTAACATTAACAATAATAATCTCCCCCCACCCAAGTCCTTTGAACCAAACAACAATTATGCCACTGCAACACAGTCTTACAGGGAATGGCAGAGAAAAGATGAACATGATTATACAAAGATGCTGATTGACATTACATTTCAATATATGAAGATTGTAGCTATCAGTAGACAAAAAAAAAAAAAAAATGCAAGTTCCACAGATGCCAAGAACAAACAAAAAACAACTCACACTTGCATCCAGCTACTTCAACAGTAAAACATACTTGCTAATTTAGTAGCATGCTTACGTTCATGTACTTAGGCCATCAGCGAGAAAACCTCCACTGAGCAGTTGCCATTAAAATATTTGTACAATATATAGAAAGAAGCCACATCACACTGACATTGCCTTGTCAGAGTCGATTATATTGCAGACCCTACTCTGGAATTTTTCTAAACACTACAAATGCACAGTAGAAGAACCAGATTAGTTAAATATTAAAAAATAAAGTTTTTTTTCTCATACTTTAACAGTAGATTTCAAACATGAAAAGAATACATTCAACAATTCAGTCCAGTTTCACAATTTGAAGATTTATAAAATTTCATTTAAAAACAAAAAAAAAAATGCTTACATCCAATATAATTTTGGCACATGAAAGTAATTAGAATTTCTCTACACACCTCCCCAGATTAGCCAGTTCATCTTCAGCTACACTGTCTGCAACATCAGCAAACCTCATGTACATTGTTAAAAAAAAAAAAAAAAATACAGTTTGCGCCAGCAAGACATCTTCCACATTGATAGACTGCAAAAAGGCATTCAGGTACAAGGAAATTTGTTTTTTTTTTTTTAAAAAACAGCCACATGTAGCTAAGAAAATATCTTACATATGATAAACAGCATATTAAATAGAAATAATTACACAGCAGGAATGTTGTTCATAAAACAAACAATGATATTTTTAACTAGAAAGTTTATTTTAGAAATCCTACACTTACAGATATGAAATAGCAAAAATGAGATTTTTTTTTTTTTTTGAGACATTTCAACCTTTACAAATTGATAGCCGACATCTGCAAATAAAACTGACGTGTCCTTTTCATGTATGAGAAATCAAAAATAGACAATGTAAAATATTGACATTTCATTTGCAGCCAACTGTTTTATCTTTACCAGCAGAAAAATTTGTATTAGCTTAACTTGCATCAAAAACATATATATATATATATATATATATATATATATATATATATATATATATATATATATATATATATATATATATATATATATATATATTAAAGAGCAAGAATAATAGAAGAGTAACCAAGAACATAGTAGGTAATGATTGATGTTGCATTTTTGTCTGGAAAGCATGGAGCCAGAAGACAGTTCCACAAGCAAAAAAAGAAATTTAGTCATAGAATTTACACTTACCTCAAGACCCATTCAATTGTGAGTTGAGACCTTGCCACCAATCTAGTACTACACTTACATTCATAAAGTCTAGCTACCATGAAAGTATAGAAAAAGCCCAGTGAAGCTACATTACATCAGTGGGAAAGGGACTGAAGCTGAGATGCCAGGTCAGGACCAATAACACTGCAGATTCTTTGGGTTTTATTAAGAATCTCCAGATATACATCACAAGCACCAGACCACATGTGGCAGCAATATACAGGGCATTGATGAATGGTAGACTTATAAATAGCCAAGATTCAGGGGACAAAAATTTTCCAACACCTCACAGCAAACCAACATTCCAAACAGCTGATCTACCAATGGATTCCATATAATCTTTCCACTACAAGTCACCCAAGAATGTTAGCCCAAAAAGGTGCAACAAGTCATTCTCCTGGAGGTTAGCACCAACCATAGTGATGGAAGGAGAAAGGGGGTCTTTCAGGCCCATTCTCTTTATAAGGGTTCTTAATTCCTAAATTATTGCAGACATACTACTTTCTGGTTTTATGCTCAAAAACCATATTCAGGATACAATGAGACATTTCAGGGAAACATGATCTCAAATTTGATGTTGAATTTATGGCAACAGACTTACATTTTATACAAACAAATAATCCTGTAACCTGTCTTATGCACACGATATGACATCACATAACACTTGTGCTCATTTTTCTTTCATCAATTAAACACGTACTTGCCTTTGGGGACATACAAAAATAATCCAGAAAATAAGATATAGATTTATACTGGTAAAATTTACACACTGATGGATTGAATAGTTCTTCAGATAGTAAATTCATACAATGATAAACATCTCTTTGTTGATCTTTGCCTTATACACAAGTTGACAATGTTTGTATCTCAGTCATTCTTTCGCCTATCAAAGTTTATAAACATTTCCTTATGAAAACGCAAACTCCTTACAATAAAAGTAACCAATTCCTAGCTGTTCTTGTTACCATCAACATTAAAGGATTTCTTTCTTTGTGTGGTCATTTCAACAAAGTTTAATTAAAAAACTTCAATGACAGATAAATTGTGTGCAGATGATTTAGGAGTGGGGGTCCCTATATTCATCTATATGACATTTACTAAATCTATTTTAAAATATTACAAAGTATTAGCATTTTTCAACAAATAAATTTCTATTATCAGAAAATGTGTTTTACAATTACAAGCAAAAACAAAAATAGGAGAAATTCAGTAAAGATTTATGCAGAATAATTTTAGCACAATTTTAACAATTCATAAAAAAAAAAAAAATACTTTAAACTGTTCAATTAGCAGTTGCAGGAAACAACAAGACAAACCTTTTCATTTCAGCTTGCTGATCCTGACTGCATTTTTGTTATCGGAGAAATCTTGCATGAACCTTTCACAAGGTAGATAAAAAAATTTCAAAAAAAAAAATATGCTTCTTAAAAATAGTCAAGCAAAAGCATATATACGAAAAATGTACAGTCTTTATTAAATCAATTGAAAAAAAAAAAAAAAAATATTTAATATGAAAAACAGCAGAAAACAAAGCAAAATTTCAGAAATCACTTTATCCATCAGTCCTGACCATGTTGCAGGCACGAACTTAGAGAATATTAATCAATGATTTTTTTTTCTTTTGCCATATTGCAAAAATACCTTTTCAAAATCTTGCATTTTTAATTTCAAAAGCAAATGTTATGTAAAATTTTAAATTTTCTGATGAAAACTTTATAAAAACGTTAAAACATGCTTATCACTTGTGGATGTTACAAATGTCCTGTATACAAGATCTTTTACACTTCCTTCAGCTCCCATTTATTTTTTTTTTTTTTTTTTTTTTTACTCTTTAAGTTTCAGCTTCAACAATTACAAAAAAAAAAAAAAAATAAAAATAAATGATAATAAAAAAAAAATAAACACAATTGGCTTCCAAAAATGATAACCTTTTGTTACAAAAATGATTTCAAGAATGATTATTTTTAATTTTAAAATGTTTACATATGATAAAGTTTTTAATTTTTTTTTTTTTTTTTTTTTTCAGTACCTTTCTTAATTTAAAAAGGAAACCACTTTGCTCCTAAAAAAAAATATACATCATCAAGTGGGTGGGTGGGTGGAGGGAAACAAAGTTATACAGTTGTCATTCATTTTTTTTTTTTTTTTTTTTTATTTTTACATATACACCAAACACCTCCACTCTTGACGACTGGAGAAACAGACAATGGTATTTCCACAATGTGGAAATTAAAAAAAAAAAAATAATGAACAAATTTCATTTAAATGGGAGTATTAATAATTTTTTTAGTTTGCAAGATTGATAACATGATGTAGAGAAACCAGAGGAAAATGAAGAAAGCTCCAGACAAATATTTGGCCAAAACTTTGCCCCCCAACTCAGCCTTACCAAAAATGCGCAGGTTTCTTCGCAGAAATAGCATGCCAATTGCAAGAACGGCAAAAGTGGTATAGATAACCACCGAGAATCCAAGCGAACCAGCATTGACAACAAAAGGCACACCCTGAAATAAACAAAGAACTTATTGAAAAATAAAGCATATCACTTTGGAGTCATTAATGATATCCAACTATTACCTGTCTACATAAGGCCACCAAAGAACATTTCCGTTCTGCAGTTGCTACTTGTGCCTTAACCCAGGATTCTCAGCCTACTTTTTTCTTTTTTTTTTTTTTTTCCACAATTCTATTGTTCTTGGTCTCCCCACCCCCTTCTTTTTCATTCAGGGGCTCGCTACAATCATTGTAATAAGGACCTAAATAACAACCACTTTCAATTCTTAAAAAAAATTAAAATCATTTTTTCTTTCTCATTGATGAGAAGAAAAATGTCTGAATAAAATAACCACAAAGTTATGGCAACTTTTATATAAGTTTTCATCAGGAAAACATTTAAAAATTAACGACACCTGGAGAAACAATTTGGATCATATTTTTTTCATTATGGGTCCATTGCACTTTCACCCTGTACAAGGCTCGGGAGCCACTCGAGGTAGAGGGTTGCAGAAGCACAGTTTGTGTATATCGGAAAATAACAATTAAACCTATATTTGAACAGATTAAAATTTTAGTGAAAGCATCCCCTTTGCAGTTCGTTCCATAAACCAGTAATTCACGGGAAGAAGCTGCTCCAGTCAAACCGTCATCTTACCTTTCACACACATTATTTGCCCGATTTATGTTCACACTAATATTTCCGCCTACATTACATTCTTTTTTGATCCAAGTAAGCTTCAGGAGATTTCAAACTCAGCCCTATATTTCATCTACAGCCAACCATGGTTACGAATTCTCTCATCTACTTATTTTACTATTACTAACTTTGTTTCCATTCAGTCTAACTCTGCAACAATGCGTTATCCCACAGGATAGTCCTGACTGTAGAACTTGGAGCCTTAAACCTACTCTAACTGCTCACGAGACCAACACTATTTGTCTTTATCATACCAAACTTTTCAGACAACTACATTGTTCATTCTTTGCTTATCTTGGGAAATTCTAAGAAACAATTTTTGAAAAATATAATTCACAATTCCATGTTCTCTTCATATTGAAGTTTTACTTTCCAAAATGAACCAGATATATTTGGTTAAGAAGTTCTTTTAGTCAGCAATATTAAAAGAAAAACAAAGCTACTGAATTTACATAAATGCATAAATAAAAAAACTAATACTCTCACAGTATCATGTGCATAAAAAACAAAAACAAATTATTCATTATAGTGTCAAAGAAATTTATAATAAAATCATTATAGCAATTAGAATTATCATTAATTCACTCTATAAATTAATGTGAATAGACACCACTTTTCTCTTCTACAAACACACACAACATTATTACTTTGACAAGCAGTTCACACGGACCAGTCATAAACACATGCCTCAATTAAAATTTCATCTCCTTTTACTTTTTGGGGCATTATTGTAATATTTATCTTTTAGCACTCAACAAAAACTTCAGCTAAGAAAACCTCAGGCACTTATTTTTCCAATAAAATATCTGTAATTTCATTACACACATCTAGAACAAAACATACGAGAAACACTGTATACACTTTGCTTATTTTTTATCTTATCCTTTTGTTGCATTCCAATCCTAATTTAATCTACATTTCATCCCAAACTCAGTTCTACACAGTATTATTGTCTCTCTTGTCTCCAACACCACAAAACAACTGGATAACAAATAATCTGCAATTTGTTGGTTCCACATCCTGTTGTTTCTCAGTTTTACAAGCAATTTTCTATACATAAATGTTAGGAACTTTATAATTATTTACTCAGAATTGTACATCCTCAATAATATTCGACTCCTACTATTACTTGTTACTGACAGGATCTTTCTAAAATTGATCTCAATACTTGTATGTTACTAGTAACATCAAACTAATATCCTTGCCTCCAGGCAAATGTTCCTATCACCCGAACCCCATTTTCATCTCCCATTGGCCTGAGACTGCTGCCTGGTGGTGTGTTTCATGTAATCTCTGGTTTCAGTTCTTCCAATCTTAATGCTACATCATAGCATCTGCAATGAACAAGTTTCTTTTCCTCTTGCTTTATTTTATCACAGACAATAGTTGTAACATCCTTTATAGATGGAAGTGATCGAGTGTTAACTGGTTGGCCAAAATCTCATTGCCATGTGCTGCTTTGTCTCACTAAGAAATCTTGGCATAGTGAGGCATCTTGACCCTTGTAATTCTTACCGTCAATCTGATCTTGTATCAAAACTTACACAATGCCAATGCCACAGAGTTCAAACCACTCCTACTCAGTTCAGGTCATCAGAGTTCTGACCAGCAGTGTTATATACCACACTGCCCTATACATTATGCAACACTCTTCCTAACCCATGTATTTAATTTATCAGTCTGAGGAAGTTATGGTATATAGAGATGAAGATTAGGCTAATACATGAGTAAAGGCCAAATTTACAGTTTATAGTACAATTTTATTGTTGACTCCATTTGGTTACAGTGGTTGACTATTATCTTAGTCCTTTTGTGATTTAAGAATTCATACAAGGTCATGTTTTTGACTGACAGAAATTAATTTGTTGAATTAACCCTTTCTTCTTCTGGAGTTTTACAACCAGTCAAACTCAACATCCGATGAATCTACAACCCTTGCATCTCAAACAGCTGCATTGAACCAATATCCCAATTCTTCATGGTTTTGTTTTCTTCTTTTTATTGGGCCTGACACGTCCTGCCAAAAATCAAATGGCAAACATGGACATGTCATTGGTTGATGTTTTATGATGTTCACTGACCCACATAAGCTATGTCCAGGTTCTGTCAGTTACCAAGGATAGGAAAAAAAGAAGGAAGGAAAGGAAATATGTGTAATAGAGAAAAGAGAGTTTTCTTTGTCACTCTCTTAGTGAAAAGGAAAGTGTATATTTCCATACGGTGTTACTACTACTACTACTACTTCTACTAAATCCTACTACAAAGGAAACTGAAACTTAATACAAAAGAAGAAACCACCCTTACTCGACTACGCATTGGATACACTAGACTGACTCACTCCTTCATACTAGAAGGGGAGCCTCCTTCTAAATGCCCCCGTGGAAACCAATACACAATAAAACATATACTGATAGAATGCACAAACCTTACACACATTCAAAGAAAGTTCTACAAAATTAAGAGTACAAAGGAACTATTTACAAATATTGATCCAAGTCATATAATAAACTTCCTGAAAAGAATTGGTCTTTTATCAAGGATATAGTCTGATGTGTAATTAATATATGCTACCTTTTAACATTGTGCAAACAAATTGTCTATACTAAATGGAAATCCTTGTCCTAGACAGTAATACCTGGAATTATTTTGCAGTGTGCAAGCAAATAAGCTCTAGCTTATAGACATTTACAAGTCATATATAAACTAAATTTGGCATTAAATAACCTACAGTGGTTGATATGCCATAAAAACCCAACCAACAAAATCATAGGTGAAGCTAATTGAAATAGCCTCAGTTGTAAAGAAGTTACAAGAAAAAATGCTACATTGTTGAGGTTTCTTTGTCTCCCCCCGTCTGACTGCTTCAAACTGGTCTACCTGTGTTAACTTCCACATTCACTTCTTACTGATTGTATATATAAACATTGATTAAGGTGTCATATTACAAGTTGATTTGTATACATGCATAATAATAGGACTAAAGGAACATTTTTCAGGACACTGTTCTCTTGTTGCACACAGCCATAGTCTGCTGAATTGACCTCAATAGGCAATTAACAATCAAGGCTGAATATTTGGATAGTATAAACAAAATAAATAATTTGGGCCAACACCTGACCTAATTCAGTCCCAACTGGTCATTTTTTTTCTAATGACAAGTGGAAGTTTCACTCATTCATACTTAAAATCTTTTTAATTCACAAAGCTCAAACTGAGACAATTCCACTTTCATTTTATTGTAATTACCAGATTTTCCAGCTTACACGATTCACTTTTTTTCCTTAAAAATATGTGTGCATCTTCCAAGACAAATGTAAGGGAACACCCAGACTCTAGTAAGCTTGGACATTCACCTAATTGGCTTCGCTGATAGGTAACATACAAATCCACGTCCCTATCTAATTCGGCCTTTTATATGATATAACCTCAGTACTTAGCTGTTACAAGAATTTCCAAGACTATAAACCTTCCTGGAGCTGAGCCACAAACTTAAACATGCTCCATTTGCTGGCAGTGGTGGGAGCCTTTCTGCTCTTGACTAGTATGTCATTGCAATACAAACAAAATCAGATGAGTGATTAATGTAAACAATACGTAGTGCCAGTATGTGAGTGACACATGGTGAATGTGTTGTATGAGAATGACTTTTTTTCCTTAGAAATTTCTTTCCAATATTAGGGTGTGTCTTCCAATATGCAGCATCTTATAAGCCGAAAAATACGCTACCTGTTTTTTCTACTCTCCAAAAGTCCGCTAATTAAAAAAAAAAAAAAAAAAGCTTGGATGTGCTTCTGGTATACTTGTAAATTTACTAGCTCAGCTACCCAGGCTTTTTAGAGAAACTTCAAGTTCATTCCTATTCTAACCAATGTCAGGTATAAATCCACTCACCTGTCAAATCTAAACCAGTATCTTTGTTATATTCATGCCTCACAACTAATTTACCGGGTCATTTAAATTACAATGACCACCAATTATCAATTCAAATATAGTTAAAATCTATACCAGTATCTCTACTAGATGCCAACTGCATGACTACCACACCTTTATTGAATGATTTGTTTTTTTTGCTGCTTTTGGGGGGAGGTGGGGTTATGGCTTACCAACCCAGCTTGAGGATTATTTAAAGCTGAAAACACTTTGGTTTGTAACAATAATTCTTTCTTTTGCAAATGAATATTACAATAACAATTTATACAGATACAAGACCTAATATTTAACTCATAGCTGGGGGTAGGAATGAATTACTTGACTTACCATTGACTCAAGGGTATTTTTCTTATACAATCAAGTCAGTTGTTTGTTTTTTTTTAATACATTTTTTTTTTGTTTAATCTTTTCACCCTAAACAAGGCAACAAAGCCACTAAGACACAGAGGGTTACTGAGTGTGAAAGAAAAAAACATGAAGCAGTAAGAACAATAAAAGAACAGAACTTAAAAAGAATTTACATTGATGTTCAAAAATTTAAATGCAAAGTTGAGTGGAAAGCAAGAAGCCAAAAGAGACATCCACAAGCAAGAAGTGCAAGAATTGAAACTTAGCATAGAACTTAAGGTTACATCTAGCCATTTCAACTGTAAAATGATGAGACCTATCAGCCAATCTAGTACTACAGTTAAATTCATAGAATATAGCTAGCAGAGAGGAAACCTCATCAGAACAAACACCATGACACATTTATAGACAAGGTACAGGGAAGCTACATTAGGATGATCGGAAAGTGACTGAGGCTGAGACATCATGTCAGGACAAATAACCCTGAAAATTCTTCTTGGAATTTTACCAAAGATCTTTAAATATATAGCCGGAACACAAAGCTAGACTCTAAATGTGATGGGAGGCACCCCACATTTTATTTCAACTCTACACTTTGGATACTACTGTCTCAACAGAGCATAAGAGACTTTCTCCTCTTCTCTCAGGTGGGTGCTTATATATCTACTTGTCAGATAATTTTTTCACCCACACATGCACATTCTAAGTGCAGCTGGGTTGACCACATATTTACATGCCAGAGCCAGCCACTGAGAGTGAAGCATGGAACTGAAAACTTTTGAACTGAATATTCTGATCAGTACAGTTAATGAGAAACTGTCAGTCTTTTGCTAAAACTTCTCGTCCAACTGCACCTGATGTCTAGCGGTACGTTTTTCAGGTCGACTGACTGGTGCACCTGGATTCTCTGAATCCCCAGCATAACACAGAGCCCAAATAAACAAACAGTCTTGGCATAGGAAGTTGTGAAGAGATATGATCACCAATGTTCTGAATGGACATTAATCTCAAACATAATCTGAATTTCTTACTGAAGAACTTCAGTTAAGAAATAATTTCTTCACAATTACTGTTAATGCTGTCATTTAACTTACAAAACATTGTCTTAGGGTAACACAAGTCTTTATCACAGATTTAAATAAAAAAAATTGAAATCCACAAACCTTCATATGCCAGTAGATGGAAGCAATTAACCATGGTAGTCCCAGACCAAGAAACACATTCACTGAATTACTCCCATTGACGTTCCCAACAGAAGCATCAGCTGATTTCTCCATTATGGCAGCAGTTTTACTAGCAAAAGTATCAGGCATACTTGTTCCCAGAGCAACAAACGTAATGGCTGTAATACTTGCATCCATATTGATCAAACAACCAAATATTCCAGCCAAATCTCCAATGATTGCTGTCATTAAACCAATCAATGCAAGAGAAATGATGAACGTTGGCCAACCACCGAGGATTGAGGGTGGAGGTACACATGCAAATATCGCCTGAAAAAAATTTGTAAATTACTTGGATTAAAAAGGTGGGAAATAAAAAAAAATAAAAAAATAAAAAGTTTTTTTTTTGAGATTCTATACAAAAAATAGAAAATACTGTAATTTACTAAATTCTTTTCTTATTTACATACAAAAGTTTTCTCAGGTTTTTCATGAAATTGGAAAAGAAAATTCATCAAATAATGTCTTGTTTGACAGACAGCAAGTCCTTGGAAAATTGTTTGCATTAAAAAAAAAAAATATAAATATCCTTATTTTAAAATTCAAATTTGATTACATTTAATAAGTGATTAAATCCTGTCTAGCTCATATATATATATATATATATATATATATATATTATTTATTTATATAACAAACATGTTATAAGATATACAAAAATAGCCATTTTGTTTCATATATATATATATATATATATATATATATATATATATAATATATGTTATAATGTGTGTATCAGTATCACTGCAAAAATATGTGTTTTGTTTATACATATATTATATATATATATATATATATATATATATATGAATGTGTGTATCAGTATGTGTGCATGCATGAATATGTGTGTGTGTGTTATATATTGTATACATATATATATATATATATATATATATATATATATATACACACACACACACAAGTTTGTGTGTTTATTTCTTTCCAGCTAAACTGTTCATCTGAATGTTCAAAGAAGATCCCAAAAAGTAAAAAGTAACTAGTAGTGACTTTTCTTGATCAGGTTCACCAAATGGTGATGGTCGACGGGCTATATTCATTTTCCTCGGCAGTGGCAAGACATCCAGAATTTGGGTCATCTTTAAGACTCACTTCCCCTCCTAAATTCAGCTGCCCACTTTTGCACTGTTGATAAAGCTGGAGCATTATCCCCTAATATAGCAACCATGTCAACATAAATGTCTTTGGGGGGCTAAACCTTTTCTGCAGGTACTTGATAATCCCACGATGCCAAATTTTGACCATTTTCAACACTAGTCCCTACTTCTTACTTTTGAAGTCTTCTTTAAACAGTTAGTTGTCAGTTTAGCTGGAAAGAAACAACGCAGTTTTTAATAAGACAACTTGAAATTAATGCATGCAAGATTTCAAAGCTCTAGCATCACTTTTTCATAGTCAGCCAACCCTTGTATAAAACAAAAGTAATTTTCTTTATCAGCAGGTTTCAGATTTCAAAATAAATGTAATGTTTTTATTTTGTAATATTCTTACGGCTGTGAAAGTCATGGTAAACTATGAAGGATGTTAAGTGATATAATGAACAAAATTTATTAAATAGTTTTTTTTTACTTATATATATATATATATATATATATATATATATATATATATATATATATATATATTTTAAACATGAACTGAATAGAGAGACCTGGTGCACTACGTGCCACAAGGTCCCCAAACAATCCTCTGCAGGTTTTGAATTCAGAATTGTCCTTCTCCTAGGCCAGTTGCCATCCAAGGATATAAAACCCTGTCTATCCTGCTATTTACCCATAGCTGAAGGGAGGAGAAGAGGATTAATACCTTTCCCAAGGGTATTAGCACGTAAGTGAATGTACTGGATTCGATTGGAATTCAAATTCAGCTCTCCGAACACTCAGTCCGAGCCGCTATCCACCATGCCTCCTCTTCAAATCTGCCCAAAGCCTTCACCGCTATAATCAAATCATATGTGCTGGTGTCTGGGCTGTCAGTTACTAGAAACTGAGCTGCTTGACCTTCATACAAATATGACAGGAGGGTCCACCATATTGATATTGAGCCCTTTCCAATAAGTACCGTGCATATATATATATATATATATATATATATATATATATATGTGTGTGTATGCACACACACACACTTTTTATTCGGTAATTATTATTTCATTTTCATAAATTATTTATGTATTTTATTTATTATAAATAATAGCCTTATAAAAAGGCCAGAGTGTACAACAGCCAAAACGTTGTGAATATGACAACAAAGATGATGACAATCCAAACAATATAAAGAGTTACAATACCTCATCACAGAAATAGACAGATGATAGCTTTTCATTTATGACTAAATGAAGAAATATCTTTACCTTCCAAGCAAAAGTTGCAAAATGAAAGATGTAGTCACTAGCAGTTGCTGTCTCCAAGTCACCGCCATTAACATTAAATGCATTTTCAAACTGCTGTCCCCAACTGACAGTATCCAATTGTAGGGCATCCAAGTTGACCTTAGTCATATTCACAATGCGGTCCACCAGGCCATTGAACTCTATCAATGAAATACAGGTACATTTAAGTTTCTCAAAAAATTAAAGTAAAAAAAAAAAAAAAAAAAAAAAAAAAAAAAAAAAAAAAAATTAAAGTAAAAAAAACAAATAAAAAAAAAAATGGTTACTTTTTTTTTGAAAGCAAAAACGAAAAAAACATTCAAAATTCAAATACATGTAACCAAGAAAAATAACATTTATAGTAATAAAGATTCATTGATTTATGACATCAACCTTTTTCAAGTTATTTAAAGCCAGTATATATATATATATATATATATATATATATATATATATAGTGTGTGTGTGTGTGCATGTTGAAGAAAGAGGAGGATATAGTGTAGTCCTTACTAACAAAACTATATTTACTTACCTTCATCGTTAACAATTGTCACAATTGTTTTCTTTATCTTGCCTATTTCAGCTCCTCCCCCAGCTTCCATTAACTCCACCTGGAAGCTCTCATCTCTTTCACTTAGCTTCAAAATAAAACATTTGAAATCATATTTTCAGAATTCTATCTTGGCAGCCAAATACGTTGACCTATGTGGTCTTCATGTTGTATTTTAGTAGCATTTAAAGAGTACATATTGCTCAAGTCACACATAACTAATCCCTCATCATTATTATTATAAACAGCATTCAGTAATGTTTACATCTCCACTACAAAGATTTACACAAGGCCTAATGATAGAAAAGACAGATGTTTTGGGGTTTGTTTTTTTTAGCCAAAATACAATACAGTTTTTATTATGTCTCAGTTTATGTCCCATGTGAGTTTAACACATAAAACTATGTGTGAAGGCATTTCTGACCTGATCAGTCAAAAATAATACCTGTTCTAATTTTAAAAACATTACATAAAAACCCCTGTGAAATTTTAGCTATGAACCATTAAGAGTTTAGAAGCCTAAATAAAAACTGTGGTGTTCCCTTCTTTTTTTCTACCCATAATCCTTTTTCAGAATTGCTGCCCCTCTGAACACACATAGAAAACAAATAACTGTCAAAGAATTTCTGTTTTTGAAATGAAAAAGTGCTGCAGACATTCACATAAGATTATTGAATGTTCATCGAAAGGATGCAAGTACCATAAAGAAATGGGCCAGTAGTGTTAATGGTTTGGTTTGGTTTGCGGCACATCAACCTCAATGGGTCATTTAATGCTGATATAATGGAATATGCATACACCTGAATTCCCCCTCACTGGAATTGGCTCATTGGCTGGTGTCCGTCATAAATACAGACAGATGTGTAGGTATCACAGAGTTTAAGTCTATGACGATGCCCATTGGACTACGCCATCGGCTATCCTATTGGTCTACACCTATTACCTGCAACTACGGTGAGTACCAGTTGATTACTGCTACTGTGTACTCCTTGGTTACAGTAGCCAAACCCACTTAGCTACTTCGATCAAATATATCCCTTTCCGGGACATATCAAATGCCAACAAAATTTTCATTGTTGGTAACATTTTTTTACCAACATCTATTTCTGGTAATGTTCCTTCCTTCAAAAAAAATTCATTTTTGGCTATATTTTTTCCTTGGCTAGTAATAATTTTTTTCAAAAATTACCGGTAATAATTGTCTTACAAAGTATTTCTGGTATTAAAACCTATTTTTACACTTGCATAGTGTTTTGACCCCAGTTTGGGGGTTAACTATTTTCCCATAGCTGGGACCCTAACAGGTACTACCACCCTGGGTCAAAGTGGACCTGGGAACACCAGCAATTAAGAGGTGATTCCTCAAAACCTCCTGATCAGAGGCCTTGCAGTTGAACCCAGGTCGTGGATGTAGTTTATTGTCATACCTAGGAGAGCAGTAGAGTTAATGGTAGTCTTAGAAAGGAGAAACTGACTTCATTAACAGGCTTCACAGTGGCAGGTCAGCTGCTGTTGTGAATCAGGTTAACAACAAACAGGCTAATGCTCAATGGTGATGTCTGTAATTTAGTGCAGTTTCTTGGATTGCTCAAAGGTTTGTGCAACATAGGTTTCCAGAATGAAATAGCAGAGAGTATTTACTGTCTAAGAAAGAGGCTGTCAAAATGCAACAATTTCCATCCCATTATTTTTAATTGTTGAACCTGATACAATGGCCCAAGAGCCACTCAAGGTAGAGCGTCGTTAAATGAGGTTGTTGAAAAGGAAAAGATGATATGTAAAATAGATAACCATTGACCCCTACACTTGAAAAGGTTGTTATCTACCACATTAGTTCATTTGCAATGAACAAACTGCAGGTCAGAAATAAAAAAAAAAAACTGGCTCCTTGTGAGATTCAAGCTTCTGCCTTTGAGATGCCTGATCAACTGCACTTACTGCTGTTGAGATACAAAAAGATGATTATCTCCCTTTGATGGAGAAAAGTCACATGGGACATGGGATTACCACTTAGTGACATCACTCCATACAATGACAAAAGCAGCCATCAAATTTCAGTTTGTTTACAGCAACCAAATAGTAAAGTTGCTTTTTTTACCTCACCACCCCCACCATTTCCTTGGCAGAGGCTAAAACCTGCCTCCCCAGCAGCTTACAAGTCCATGGTGCAATTTCCCTTTGGGACTATATCTTTCCCAGATATAGAATGAAACACCAACTCACAGTCCTCAATTTTGTAAAACCCACACTCACTGTTTCCTCATTTGTGGAATATGTCCTCACCTGGGACACAGATGAATCTTGTCAGTTTGAATCCCTAAACATGGATTCTCCAGACACAGAAGTATCTCCATATTGTATGCAAGACACTTCCTTTTTGTTTCTCCTTACACTCTGTTTTACTGTTTGATATATATTATATTTTCTGCGTGGTACACACTTGTGCATGTGTGTGTGTATATGTTTTATGTGTCTCTCTGAGAACAAAGCATGTTTGTCATTCTCTTTTCCTTTCAGCCATTCTATTCTGTCCATGAAATACAGTGTTATTATATCACAGATATAATAATGCCCATAATGGGAGAAATACAAATGGGAGAATAAATCTTTCTTCCATAGCTCTCTCCAATTACACTGTCATAGACATGATCTATGTTTTAGAGTTTCTTTTAGCTAACCATTTAAGCTTAAAATTTTAGCATTTCTTTTTAAAGCTGCTTTATTTATTTCCTGGATAAAATTATCCAAAAATGAACTTACCTTTGTGTCATGGATGTAAATCTCAATATTCTTCATGGTTTCTCCATTTTCAAATTTCAATTCACCTTCCCCACCATCATAATCAACACCATGATGAGCAGTCATATCCTTAGTCTTCCATTTGACGGAAACATGGCCATCTGCACCATTTGAACGTTTTACAGGTATACGTGCTTTTCGAGCACTTTCCGTTATAACAATGCTGGGTTTGGTGAACTCCAAAATACCAGGTTCTGGATGCAGAGGGAAAAGAAGGAATTATCAAAAAAAAAAAAAAAAAAAAACAAAAATAATACCCTCCCACAAAAAAATTATCCCCCGCAAAACAAGAAATATCAAAAAAAAAAAAAAAAAAAAAGAGGAATTATCAAAAAAAATAAAAAAGATTGTAAAATTATGCTTTTTAGATTTAATTATTAAATACATAAAAATCAATAAAACCCAATCACAATATTTAGAAATTAGTAGAATTAATGAATTTTATAAGTTTTTCAAGAAAGTACTCTATTGAGAAATAAATTAATAAAATTCAAAATTGTTTCAGCTTTTATTAATTTATTTTCCTGAAATACATCTTTCCCATGTTCTAGCATACTTCATTAGCAATATGTTTAGCCAAGGATCATTAGTGGGGTTTTAGAGTCTTACAACATTATGCCCAATAATGGCATCACAAATTTCCAGGAACCACTTCCTATAAAATGCAGGAAACCTTTAGGAACCTATTCTGCTTATTTTCTTTTCAATCTGAGAATGGAAACAAATCACTTTAGATAATATCAAAAAGAATTAAACCATTTTCATAATTTAATAGAAATTCTGTTTTCATCATATTTCTATTCAGAAGCATGAAGTTTTTTTGACGAATATCAGCTGCATTATGGTTTCTTAGCCACATTCGAACTGAATCACTACAATGGAAGACTTATCAAATTTATGACTAGAAGATTTGCTATATTTCTTTTGTCAGAATAAATAATAATCCAACAGCAGTTTGCTAAGCTTTTATAATATCAAGAATTGATTTTGCCCGAACAGGTAGGATGCCACCATCTGTTCTATCCCTTTCTACATGGTGGCCCAGTTGATACTGATCTGATGGAAGACCTTGTGTGCCAGCCATTACATATAAATCCTCTCAGTTGTAATCTTCCCTGAGTCACTGTGAATCCTCAAATCCTTTAGAAGACAACGGTTTCTTTGCTCTTCCATAAAAAAAAAGGGAAACAAATGCAAATGTTTTCTTAGCAACACAGAGTGAGGCTGAATTTGAATTGTTAAAGTTCTTTCCTTTCACTATTGTGAGATGTTGTCTTAAGTCATAGCAGGAAATGAAATACTGTTCAAAGTAAAACAGAGTCTATTCAAATATGAGTACCCACTAAAAATCTCCAGAGTGCAAATTTTTTTTAAAAATCCAGAGAGACACAGAGAGAGAGAGAGAGAGACACAGAGACAGAGAGAGAGACACAGAGACAGAGAGAGAGACACAGAGACAGAGAGAGAGACACAGAGACAGAGAGAGAGACAGAGAGACAGAGACAGACAGAGAGACAGACAGACAGAGAGACAGACAGACAGAGAGACAGACAGAGAGAGAGAGACAGAGAGAGAGACACAAAGAGACAGACAGAGAGAGAGAGACAGACAAAGAGACAGAGAGAGAGAGAGAGACAGACAAAGAGACAAAGAGACAAAGAGAGAGACAAAGAGAGAGACAAAGAGAGAGACAAAGAGAGACAGAGACAAAGAGAGAGAGAGACAAAGAGAGAGAGAGAGACAAAGAGAGAGAGAGAGACAAAGAGAGAGAGAGACAAAGAGAGAGAGAGACAAAGAGAGAGAGAGACAAAGAGAGAGACAGACAAAGAGAGAGACAGACAAAGAGAGAGACAGACAAAGAGAGAGACAGACAAAGAGAGAGACAGAGAAAAAACATTTTTTTAAATTAAAAAAGAAAAGAAAAAAAATAGAATTTTTAAAAATATCCAGAGAAAGAAAAAGAAAACTTACCATCGTCATTAATAATTGTCACCTGCATAATGTGATTTTTGCCAAGTGACACCTCGGTTTCAGTAAGCAGCACAAGCTGAACAAAGAAAAACTCATCAGGCTCCCATTCAAAGTCATCAATGATTTCTATGTAGATCTGCTGTAGCATTTCATTCTCTTTGAAATGGATGATTTCATTGATAGGTTTGTAGTCAGTACCAGCTGTTGCTGTGCCTGCTACAGTCTCAACCCTAAAATCAACAAGATTTTTAAAATAATCAATACATTTCATTTTATTCTATGTTTTTTTGTTTATATTAAATGTTTATCAATATGGACAGCACACATGATTTTTGGACATATAATAAACTCCAAATTTCATGTATCCCAAATTAATGCAAATTCAGACTGTAAAAGTTGTTGATGGTTGCAATTGTTTTGATGGTCAAAAGGGTTGAGCAAGTGAAGGTGAAAAAAACCCTTGAGAAAGGATGATGCAGACTCAATGACAGAAGCTAGTCAATCGGAGCTTCAGTATATAACATCTCACAGGAAAGTTGTTCTATCTCATCCTGGATTTGCTAGTCATGAAAAATCACATGAAAATCAGCAATCTAATGCTATGTTAATGTCCTTCCTGATAGATCTGTTGTGGAGTGATTACACAGTGGAGGCTTGTATTTGTACTGTCGGTCCTAAAATAGGTTCGACGTACAAAACGTTAGGAACTTTATATAATAGCTATAACGCAGAGTAATGTAGTTGTAGTCACTGATATTTTAGTATTCGACTAACTGTCGTCTCACTGACTGACTCACTCACCGACTGACCTACTCACTCACTCTTACTACTCCTACTTATTATAGGTGGAAGAGTCTATTAACTATAGAATAGGTGTGTTCCACTATAACAATATCTGAAAGGTACTTATGTGATAAAATTTGCAAGTCCGATACTGGTCCAAAGTGGCACATGTGAATGCATGAGGAGAAAGTCTTTAAAGACTCTCCAAAAGCCTTAAGTCACACATGTCAAAAAAGGTAGACAGGAGCAAGGCTGGTTCGCAAAGCCATCTGTAGACTCGTGGCTACTCAGCTCAACATTGAAATGATGACCTCCTTCTATAAAGAAGTTATCATATACCGAGAAGAAATATATATTTGTTCTTCAACTTTGGTATACAAGTAAGCAAGTATTAATTCAATTGCAATTAAAAGAGTCCGAGAGAGAACAAAGTAGTTTCAATGCTGCTCTCTGGTGGGTACAGGCTGTCTGTCGAGAGTTTTGGACTACCTGTCAGAAAGTAGTTGCAAGCCACCTGTTGTGATGCAAAGTTGGGCAGAGGTTGTAAAAAAGAGCCAGAGCCCTTGCTGGTTTAAGGGAAAAGCTGATCTGTTAGTCTGGGAATCAATGAATAAACAGCCAAATATTCTGGAAAAAGGATTCACTTTTTTTTTTTCTTTTTTTCTAGTTGTGGTAATGTTTTTAGCTTTATATTTCCCTGTGAATGTGCAACAGATCTTTCCCAGTTTGGGAACTGAGTCACCATGTGGAGTGATGTGTCTGGATAGTGAAAGGCTGAGAGTGGGACCTGGGAAATCGTTACATTACTATCAATGTTCAATTAATATTAAATTACTGATTGTTGACAAAAGCTGTAAGAAAAAATAGAATAAAAAAGTCAATTAATCATAGTTTCTTTTAAACTCGTTAAATTGCTTTGTTACTACAGAAGTGTAGACTTGCTTGCTTGCCACTGAAATAAATTGGTTTCTTCATTTCTTCTTGTATGACAACAGCCATGATCACAACATCCACATAGAAGTAGACAGCAAATAATTTTATCTGATTCTGAATACAATCTATGAAGTAATATCGACAAAGCAACCACACACTTGACCAAGAGGAAATAAATTAAAACTTTTGGGAACAAATGCTACTTGGCTGGAAATTAGAAAGTTCCACTCACAGTTAGAAATGAAGATAGCCTAGAACTCTCAAAGTCATTGGCACTGTCACACATGGACAAAAAAGTTGTAGGAGAGTCAGATTTTTCATCAATCAGTCATGACAGAAGTGGAAATTGGCCCAAGAGTCACCAACCTATGCCTTCCCCAGACTATGAGAAGTGAATCAATGAATAAACAACCAAATATATTGGAAACCGGATTTAAATAGTTTACTGCACAATTTACACACTAACAAAATAGTTCAAAAAGCACAAAAGAGTATTGTATGCAGTCCACTATATTAAGAGCAATCATTTGTGTTCACTTGATGATTGTGTGAATCTGCCAATAATTGCTTCTGCATCCAATTTATCTAACAATTCCTTTTCAATGGATAGCATCATGTATGATTCCAAATTCTCCTCAGAAAGCAAATTTTTTAACCTTGTCTTTATGATCTTTAGCTTTGAAAATGTCCTCTCACATTGGACTTGAGTAACTGATAGTGTACAAATGAATTTAGAAAAGTCTTATTCCTTTTTTTTTATTACTAAAACAGCTATTTGTGTTTTTTCTTTATAGCATTTTTATTTGATATAAGGGGCCCCTTGCAAGCTGACACTGTAGCCAGTCCACCATTGGACTTATTTTAATTTCTTTTAATTTTTGTTTATATAATTTATTTTTATATTTTATTTCTTTTTATCGAGACTCCTGACACTATCATTTAATTTTCATAATGAATAAATAAAATTTTCAAAAAATACATAAGAAAAAAAAAAAAAAAAAAAAAAAAAAAAAAAAAGAAAAAAAAAAAAAAAAAAAAAAAAAAAAAAAAAAAAAAGAAAGAAAAAAAAAAAAGAAAAAAAAAAAAAAAAAAAAAAAAGAAAAAAAAAAAAAAAAAAAAAAAAGAAAAAAAAAAAGAAAAAAAAAAAAAAGAAAAAAAAAAAAAAAAAAAAAAAAGAAAAAAAGAAAAGAAAAAAGAAAGAAAAAAAGAAAAGAAAAAAAAAAAAAAAAAAAAAGAAAAAAAAAAAAAAAAAAAAAAGAAAAAAAAAAAGAAAAAAAAAGAAAGAAAAAAAAAAGAAAGAAAAAGAAAAAGAAAAAAAAAAGAAAAAAAAAAAGAAAAAAAAAAAAAAGAAAAAAAAAAAGAAAAAAAGTACAATTAACATTTTTGAGATAACAAATTTGAAATGTGTATATGTACTTTACATATTACTGGCAGTAGACATCAAATGTAAATACAGAATGTTATAAATGAATTGAATTTTCAATTTTAAGTAATTGGTTGATATTTTTAAATAGTTTACTGCACAATTGACACATTAACAGATAATTCAAAAGCATAACAAAGCATTGCATGCAGTTCACTATTACGAATAATTGCTTGCGTTTACTAGATAATTGTGCGAATCTGCAAATAATTGCTTCTGCATCCAATTTTCTATGATCTTTTATCTTTGAAAATGTCTTCTCACATTGAACTTGAGTAACTGATAGTGTGCAAATGACTTTAAAACATTCTTATTCCTTTTCTATTACAAAAACAGTTGTCTGTGATTCTTTATAGCATTTTTATTTGATATAGGGGGTCAACTCCATCAGGAAGCCCACTTGCCATTAGACAAGCTGACACCCTGCCCAGTCTGCCACTGTAGGTGAATGTCCTCATCTTTGTCGTTAGGATGACAACACTCAGACCATTGGGGCCCCAGCCTTCTTATTGAGCCAGGTAACCTTCAGGAAATGAAACATTTAATCTCCCAGGGTAGATTGTTCTCCAGGTGTTAGGATATCATCTTGTCATTTTTAGCACTCCTTACTCATTGCATGATAACAAAACAAGATGGACAGTGGAATGAGAACAGTCTACATGCAAATTAAAGGATTTAGTTTTCAAATTGCATGGAGTTTACCCAAACTTTTAACTCTCCTCAGGGTTTAAAAATAAAATTGCCCAAATGTTAGTTTAGTTTTCCCCTCACTTTATTTCATTTTTAAGAGACAATGCAACTTAAACTATATTAAAATCAAAAGTTGATAAAAATCTTTAACAAATTGTGGTTACATAATTGACATTACCTGAATACATGTACTTCAATCACGCTTCTTAGTATATACTTCTAAAATCTCCACCGACACTCCAAAATTTTATGTACTAATATTTATTTTTTTCTCAATAGCAATAGATAGGTTTGTCTACTGCCTGGTTAACAGACTTTCTCCATCTTTTGAACAGGAGTAGAGGTTTATCCATTACTTCCCATTAAGGATTGGGTTTCTAGTTTCTTCTAAAGTTTTTTTCATTGTCTTCCACTCCCAGTAAACCCTTGCATCTTAGTGGCATTATCACCTTGCCTGGGGAGGCACGGTGGAGTAATGGATAGAGGCTCGGATTGAGGAATCGGAGAGCCAAGTTCAAATTCCAGTTGAATCCATTACATTCACTTACATGCTAATGGGAAAGGTATGAATCTTCTTCTCTCCCCCCCCCAGTTATGGGTAAATAGCAAGACAGACTGGGTTCTATAGCCTTGAATGGCAACTGGTCTACTGCAGAAAGAAATGGCAACCTACTGCAGGAAAAAATCTGCCTTGTCAGTCATGCATCAAAAGACGCATGATCACCTAAGCGTGTATCACACATGGCATATAACTGACTTACTGGGGTGAAGGGATTAAAAAAACAATATCAACACATAATGGCTGAAACATTGTAATGACACCAAAGATAAGGATATTAGTCTAATTGTAAATAATAACCCCTCATTGCTAAAATTCAGGAATTTTTTCTTTATAGATTTTGACAATACCCGAGAATGTTGACATTTAAGAGCAATTACCTGACTTGAGCAGGGCAGTTGAGTTTTCCAGTTCTTCTCAGACCAATTCGAACTTTCTTTTCACTTTCCAGAACAGCTACAGCAGTGGCAGTAAATTCTATCACTGGCTTTGTCCCTCCTTCACTGTGATCTTTGCTTCGACGAATACGCAGGGCATCACGTTCTTCAGGATTCAGCTTGAGGTCATCGTAAAGCTGAAAGAATTTGTTTTATTTCATCAGAAAAGGAAACATTTTTGGCATTCAAACCATTTCTTAGAACTGGATTCAAAATGTGTAGAAACTTTGTACAGAAGCCCTTCATAATCATTCAAGAAGCAAAAGAAATTATTCCAAAATTGTAAACAAGAAAAAATATTCTCGTTTTGCTGTTATACAAAAAACAAAAAAAAAAAAGATAATTGAAATACAGTTAAACTAAAAATAAGAAAACAAAAAAAACATTTATCTTATGAATAAAAGTTTCAAAACACACCATACATAAGAAAATTTCTTTCATCTTTTTGATCTGATGAAGCCTAGAAAGGTGAAACATGTAATCAAATCTAATTTCAATGAAATAGTTCAACATTTGTCAAATTTCTTCAAAAACAAATCAAATAAAAAAAATAAAAAAGTAATGCTGGTTCTTTAATTTAAAAAATATCTTTGATTTTTTTTTTTTTTTTAACAATTAACCCAATACAAGGCCCAAGGGCCACTCAAGACAGAGTACTACTGCGCAAGATTGTTGTAACAGAGGGGGAAAGAAGTACACATTATGAGGACATGTAAGATAGATATTCATTGATCCTGAACAGACCAAGATTGTAGTTGTCAGGAAAGCATTCTCTTGGGAGTTTGTTCCACAAAGTTCAAGAAGCTGAGTGGAACTTACTTCTTATCAAACAAATACAAAGAGAACAAGGATTATTTGCCACCAATAAGCCTGCCATGATGGATCCTAGCTGTGAAGGTCTGAACTGGTGGGACTAAAAAATGTGACTCATCCAAACATCTACCATAGTAATAGCAATAGAATAGTGAAAGGCCAGAAACATTTTCATCTGCAGGATAAGAGTTGCAGGGTGGAGAGTAATTAAGAACTTATAAAAGTTGCCCAACGACATTTGTTAACATTTGAAATGGCTAGATGTAACCATAAATTCTATGCTATTCAATTTCTTCTCTCACACTTTTTGGCATTGGAACTATCTTCTGTCTTTTTGCTTTCCAGGAAACTTTGATCATCAGCCATTATCTCATCTGTCTTCTCAATCCCCCTTATTTTTCTCTCTCCTTAAAACGTTTTTCTTTCTCTCATTGTTTCACACTCAATAAGCTCTTGAGTCTTAGTGACTTTACTGCCTTGCTTGTGGTGAAATGATTAAAAGGAAAAAAAAAAAAAGTGGAAAAAAAAATTAGCCTTGTGTGAATTTTTGCAATACTTTCTACTTCCAAAAACAGAAATTTTGATAGCTATTTGCTTTCTACACATGTCCAGAAGGGTAGCCATTTTGAAAGAGGATTATGGGTAGGAAAGGAGGTTTTTCCCCCCACCTGGGTTTTATGGTTTATAGTTAAGGAATTAAAAAGAAATTCTAATACTTTAATAATTAAAAAAAAAAGAAAAAAAATTAAAACAGACATTACTTAATTTAATGACTTTCATACAAAACAAATATATATATATATATATATATTATATATATAATGAAATGGACAAAGTCCGACAATTATTTTTAAGACATATATATAACAGATTACTGAGCATCAAAGAATATGAGAGAAAAAAACTATTAAAAGAGAGAGCAATAAAAGAACAAGAATTAAGATGACAAAAGATAATGATCAACGATGCAATTACATTTTAGATCAAACTAGGAAGCAAGAAACCAGAAGAGAGTTCCACAAGTGAGACATGCAATAGCAGAAACCTGTAACATAGAATTTGCAGTTACATCTAGCCATTTCAACTGTAAAATGGAGAAACCTTGCTTCCAGTCTAGTACTGTGCTTAAATTCATAAAGTCTAGCTACTATAATGGAAAGTTCAACCAAACAATTACCATGAAAGTATTAATAGAAAAAGCACAGGGAAGCTTTATCACATCAGTGGGAAACTGAGATGTCAGGACCAATAACATTGCAGATTCTTATCAAGAATCTCTAAATATATAGAGCAGGAGCACCAGACCAGATGTGGTAGCAATATTCAAAGCACAGACAAATGGTAGACTTATAAATATGTAAGATAGATTCTGTCAAGAAGAATTGTCTAGCATGTCGCAGTGAACCAACTTTCCTAGAAGCAGACCTAACAGTTTGATTCAATCTTTTAAATTAATATCAGCAAAAAACATTAGTCCCAAGAAGGCGCCAAGAGTCACTCTCCTGGAGAATGGCTAAGCATAATGATTTATACTCATTGTCAACATATTACCTTTCTTTAGCAACAGAAAAAAAAAATACACATAGCTTTCCTATTTTGTATTGGTATTTGAACATCTAATTTATTTATAAACAGAGGAGATCAGAATCTGGATTACTGCCTATACATATCCCAGTCAGGATTGTATACCAGTTCAGACATTATACAGAGTGCAACAGAAATATCTCCCACATTTTAAAGCTTGACAAAAAGACCAATGTTACTACTATGACAGAATTTATTTTACTGTTTAAATATCAGGTTGAGAATTCTTGGATTCAACTGAATTGTTCCATCCAGACATTGCTGTTGGCAGTTCCTCCAGATGGCAACCAGAGTCATCTATAAGTTGGTCACAATGTAGGTGTGAGGAGGTCTTCAAATCAATCTTTTGCTGTGCAGTGGGTGCCATAGGAGGGTGTCACTCACAAGTTCTCCAGGAGTGACCAGCTAGCCAAAGTCTTCTCTCTCTCTCTCTCTTATCGAGACTGAGATAGGAGAAAGGGGTCAATACGGATGGTTTTTTTGTTGGGTGTTTCTTCCAGATAATGTCCAGTGCAACTCATAACATTCTTGTGTATGTTCTGTCAAGTGATGCTTCTTGGTGTTTCGTCAGTGTGCATGTTGTTGAGCCATCCAGCAAGACAGTTTCTACCGTGGCCTAAAAGAAGTGTCAGAGAGGGAGAACTTCCAGATGGTGCTCAGACCATCAAGAACACCATAGGCCTTGCCTTTGTGCATTTTGATGTCTCTTCATTACATTTCAATTTCACCTAGAAGTTTGAACACTTCGAGGTCTTCTTCTAGGTGTCTTTCTTTTAAGCACTGAAATTTTCAACGCAGCATGTAATGCCTGTGTCACAATTACAGATTCACTAGTTTTAAATACATTTCAACTGCATATGCATTGTGTGCACCAGTCCAGGCTATAATAGCAACTAAAAAAATGTTAAGACATTCACTGCATGACAACACCATTGCCTAAATTCACTAGCACCACATGGGTGACAGTTTAAAAATGTCAGACGTATTTCTGCCACACCTTTTTTTTTTGGAAGAATGCATTTCCCTAATATCATCATATTAGGTTTTTTTTTTTCCTGCATCTTTGAAAAATGGATTTTCAAACGTTTCCTTGTATTAATTTCAGTTGAATATTCCTTATATTTTTATACTCAGGTCTATGAAAATTTAATATTGAACTGATTTATTTTTAAAGAACAAGAATGAATCATGAAAAAAAAAATTTCTATAACATTTAAAAGAGAGAAAAAAAAAAAAAAAGATACACAGAAAAAGATTCAACAAAAAGAATAAAGAAAATTTACTCGACTTCAGACATCTTAATCCCAAGCTGAAAGGCCATTGGCTTATTGGCCAATGAATGAAAACTTAAGTGAAGTGATTTCAAAGAATATCTAATAACAGCTGACATCTGCCACTTTAGGAATGTCTATACAAAAGATTTTAGCTAAAAGAAACATATTGATTTCTTCAGCAAATCCAAGACTTGTCTATTAATTGAAAAATATTTTAAAAAGCAAGTGGGTTAATTTGCCGATTTAAAAAAAAAAAAAAAAAAAAAATTAATAAACCAGACTGAAATATTTACCTAATAACCAAGTTTACTACTAGAGTGGCTACTAGTAGATTTCCTATTATGGTGAACTCACTTTATTGAAACCATAAGTTCTGTTCTAATAGTTTTTCTCATCTGTGGAGGTCTTTCAGTTTCTTTTTTCCCTGCCACTTACAATCTTCAAAAATCAGATAATCATATATTTGATTCTGTTCCAAAATATATATTTAACCAGAGTCTAATGTTTTTGGATTCATACAATTTTGGGGAAAATTTTGAAAGAAAGAAAGAAAAAAAAAAAAGGCACTAAAGAAAAGAAAGAAAGAAAAAAAGGCACGAAGAAAGAAAGAAAAAAAGGCACGAAGAAAGAAAGAAAAAAAGGCACGAAGAAAGAAAGAAAAAAAGGCACGAAGAAAGAAAGAAAAAAAGGCACGAAGAAAGAAAGAAAAAAAGGCACGAAGAAAGAAAATAAAGGGACGAAGAAAGAAAAAAAAAAAAAAAAGGGACGAAGAAAGAAAGAAAAAAAGGCAAAAAAAAAGAAAAAAACGAAGAAAGAAAGAAAAAAAAAAAAAAAAAAAGAAAGAAAGAAAAAAAGGAAGAAAAAGAAAAAAAAAAAAAGGACGAAAAAAAGAAAAAAAAAAAAAGAAGAAAGAAAAAGAAAGAAAAAAAAAAAAAAGGCACAAAGAAAGAAAAAAAAAAAAGAAAGAAAGAAAAAAAAAAAAAAGAAAGAAAAAGGCACGAAGAAAGAAAGAAAAAAGAAAAAAAAAAAAAAGGAAGAAAGAAAGAAAAAGGAAAGAAAGAAAAAAAAAAAGCACAAGAAAGAAAAAAAAAAAAAAGAAAAAAAAAAGGCACGAAGAAAGAAAGAAAAAAAAAAAAAGAAAAAAAAAGGCAATGGGACGAAAGAAAAAAGGCAAAAAAAAAAAAAAAAAAAAAAGGTACGAAGAAAGAAAGGACGAAGAAAGAAAAGAAAGAAAAAAAAAGGTAAAGGAAAGAAAAAAAGGAAAGAAAGAAAAAAAAAAAAAAGAAAGAAAGAAAAAAGGAAAAAAAAAAAAAAAAAGAAAGAAAAAAAAGGTACGAAAGAAAAAAAAAGGCAATGAAAAAAAAAAAAAAAAACGAAGAAAAGAAAGAAAAAAAAAAAAAAGAAAGAAAGAAAAAAAAAAAAAAAGGAAGAAAGAAAGAAAAAGGTAAAAAAAAAAAGGAACAAGA